TGTGTGTGTGTGTGTGTGTGTGTGTGTGTGTGTGTGTGCGTGTGCGTGTGCGTGTGTGTGTGCATATATACATTTGTGTCGAAACAATCTTGTTGGCTAATAGCGTGAATTAAATAAAATAGGCATGCTTATAAACACTACATCCAAGATACATTTCAACTATCAAAAGTTAAAATATTTAACACGGCTTTGGATTATTTCAAATTCTCAATACGTAACAATATTGTACTTTGATTTTTATAGATTTTTTTTGGCATACCAATCAAGTCAACCTTCGAAAACATCATGATTTCAAAACTTATGAATTTTTTTTTAGTCATTTCCGTAGAAAACGATTTTGGAAGTTTCAATACTAGTTATTTTATGAACAAATACTAGCCATGGGCAACTTTAGTTTAATAAAATGGAGGTAACTAGGTCAAGTAGAACATGCACGTGTTCCACGCACTGTCACCCAAGGGGATTGAAGCAGTAAGTACAAAGGAACAACTATAATGCTAAGAAAGTATGGATTTAACATACAGCAAGATAAGCCACCTAACACCTACTTTCACTTCTGAAAACTTGTCTGAATCATTGTTAAATAAGTTGTTTTTCAGGTTCCAAACTTAAAAGTAACTTTGATACAAACTACAGTTATTAATTTCATAAGAATTCTAACTACAAATTCAATTATTTTGCGACAAACGAAAACACTAAATTTATAAAGAAAATATAAAGGTTGCAAGGCATTTCAACGCTTTAATATATTTAAAACAAGCTTGCAACATATTCAGTTAAAAGCTATAACTTGATTACTTTTGAATGATTATAAAAAGAAGCATTGTATATTCAGAGTGAACAGTTTCATATTTTTGTGACACATACAAGCGTGAACAAATTGAGAATACAAATTCTTACACAAACAGTTAAATTCAGGTTCCAATGCTTCACTACTTTATAAATGAAGGTTGATTCGCCTCAAAAGCTTAACTGTTTTAATAATAATACTGCAGCTTAAGTGCTTTAAAGATGGAAATAAAATATTCACACATTGATTAAATTAAACAATACCTACTATTCGGTTTAAACCACCATTATTATACAACTGAGCGCAAACAAAGAACGTGTGTATGTTAGGTCAAATATGCGCGCGTGCGTGTGATCTGTCAGCGTTGTAATTCTCTATTTTTTCTAAATTGTGACTAACTGAGGATTCAACTGGATAATAATCATTATATAAAGTCGCCATTTTGTCCTTAAAAATCTTCAAGCACTGTAATGAAAGTTATTAACGTTTTAATCCTTTTAATGGTGATTAGACTACAGATGGTACGCTCTTCTAGTTAACATTTATGTGTCCCCAGTGGCAAGTATGCAGGCTTATAAGGCTAAAAATAGAGTTTCGATACCCATGGTGTGCAAAACAATCTGTGCTTAACAACGACAAACTAAAAATTGGTCTATTGCTAAAGAAATCATTAGGCTAAGAACGTATACTTCACTTGTTCTAAACAAACGATTTTTCACAAGTAACAAACGTCACATTGTTAACCCCCACGGATAAAAGAATCTTTACATTTTATTTTGAGGTATATCACAGTATTTTCCTATTTTAGGAATATTTACTTTAGTTATAACTAGGGGGTGGGGGATTACCCGATATAATCTATGAAGAACGTTGAAGGGAAAACCAACGATTAAGATTTAGCTATTTAACGTTACCCAATATAAAGTAAAACACCAGTCTTTTGACCCCAGAATGCTTTTAAATCGAAACCCCGATTATAAGAACTTTTACAGCAGAAATTAAGACATTTTATACACACCTACTCAAGTAACTAGAGATCAGTGGTCAAAGGTTCCAGTCAGATGTACCGAAAGGAAAGATTACATTCAGGGAGAGAAAAAAGACTATAGCAGCATCTATACAGGACTTGGCTGTAGTAACGGCAAAAATAAGGAGAATTGTTAATTACGGGGGGGGGGGGGATAAGCTATTTTAGGCAGAGTGTAAGAATTGTAGGCCTGGTGAGAAAACCTGTTTCGTCATTCGACCTAAAAGCCCATGTTAATAATTGAAGTGCGAATTTAAATGTTAAAGAAATTAAGTTAATTTAAACATTAAATACGTAGTCCTTCTAGAGCAAACTCGTGCCATTCCTGACTTTAGTTGTTCAATACTGTCATTTGTTCTTCTGTAGTCTTGGTACGACGACTCTGACTGTCGGTAAATAACTTCAGAGCCTCATTCTGGTAGGAATCAACTGTGTATTAGTTTCACTGCTAGAAAAATCATTGTTTCTTTTCCCCATTGTAAGGTTAAATTCCTCAAGCTTTTTGGCTCGTTAAGTAGTATGTTTGTAGTTACACATCTTACACAGTGAATGTACTTGTGTGACTACCTTAAAATTTAATTGTTTTGAACTTCATTACTGTTATAACCAACCGTTGCGCCCATTTTTTTTACCCTTTCAGTTCATTGAACCCTGAACAAATGTCAAGCAGGAATCTGCGCATGACCAGTAACTGCTAAGACCTGCAGCATCGATTCACGTTTGAAGTACTCGACACAGTTTAGTTTCGCGACGTAGGCAGATAAGGTATAAACAGTTTTCAGGTATCATCCTTTGGCTATGTTAGCATTTTAGTCTTGATATTTTGACAGTTAATAGTTTTGTGCTGTCTTGCCCCTCCCCATTCGTTCAAATGATTCAAGCTAATTCTGTATATTTCAAGTTACAGAAAAATAGTGATAAAACTACACAGAAACTGCATTACCAATAGTTTAAAGGTCTAAATACATCTTGAAACATGCAAAGGCAGATTTTCACACTATTCTGACGAATTATTGGAAATGCGTAATCGGAGATGTACAAAAAACAAGATTAAATAATAATAAGGGAATTACTGGTCATAAGCTTCTCTTGCATTCCAATTTTTTTTATGTAAAGGAACAGTTAATTTGGTACATAAAACCAATATATATTGTGTGGGTAAGAGTTATATTATTATGCGTCCATTTAAATTGAGAAAAGTTAGAAGTGTTTAGAAAAATTAATTCAAAATACTAGCTAGTATATGTAGTGCCCATTAAATTTGAGGACCACATGTTCAGATATTTTTTTGTTTTACACAAAATCGGTGACCAAAGGAATGGGTTGAGGGCAAGGTCATTCACTTTCTATGGCAGATGATTAAGGAAGTTCAGGATTACCTTTGGGAATCATGTGATACTGATGATACTTGTTTATATTCTCATGCTTTATTAGCATCCTGTAGTAAACAACTTCATGGACCCACAATAAAGAAATATTTTTTTTGTAAAGTTTAACCCCTCAGTTATTTCAGAAGTGGAAAATTTCATCCTCACCCCCAAACAGCAAGAAATTCGCTTAACATAAATTCATTGTTATTTTGACAACTTCATTCTCCAGTCCTGCTTACATAACCGACAATGGAGTGGAAACAAGGGATTCTATCCCGTAGACATTCCACGTTTTAATATAAATAGGGAAGACGTGTGGTCTCTGCTGACAAGGCATATAGCTCAGTTTTATACTCTTTAAATTTGAATGGAAGATATAATTATTTACAGGAGACAGAACAAAGGTTGTTCTCATATATCACACACATACGTAGTTACAAATTTCTGCTACAGAACTAACAAATCCAGTTGTTTTTTTTTTGCAGTGAGCATTTTATGATAGTCTAAAAATAGACAACGACAAAGTTAAACAGGTCGTCATAATTAATAATACGTGTTTCCAGACATCGAAAAATACAATATACCAATGTTACGGTTCCCCTGCGAAGCCCGTTTTTATATATTGATCAAGCTGGTACTATTTCTTTGCACGACTGCATTCTTGCCAATCTTATTTAAATTAGGGATGTGACAACGTACATTCGCGTAATCTATTTCTAAAACTTAAGATAAACAAAATGTTGTCCATCCAATTAGCGCGAGCCTTCACGCGTAACGTTTTCGAATCCGAAAATAATTTTACCGCTCTATATTTCCAACAAAGCTTTATAATAAAAGTTTTAGTATCCCGTTCCTCTATTAACTCTCGCACAACTTCCACGTGAAGAGTACAGACGATTTAATTAGAGGTCTGCATAACTGAATATTTCAAGGATTTTAATTGTTTTGAATTCGAAATTTACCGCAAAGGCGGCAAAGTAAAACAGTCCGAGCACGCTAGCCACTGGGATATGTTTTTTCTCTTCAATACGACCGAGAACGAAAAAATACAGAGTTTCCTAAACTCTTGTCACCCACCTCTCCCTTCCTTTTAATAAACATGTTTTCTTGCGCACCCCTACCCCATCTGTTTTTACACGAGTGAGAGAGAGAGAGAGTTAGGTTAAAAGATATATTACACATTAAAACGTGTTGTAGTAAGTTCTAGTGTTTTGGGTAACAGCAACTCAAAGCGGTAGTAAGAGGTGCCCTGAAAATTATAAATAAGTTAGGCTTACTATTGTAGGTTCGAAAAATACTAGTCTGATTACAAAAAAAAAAGTTTTGCAAAATAATTTAGAGAAATACGATATAAAAGAAAATCAATACGGATTCATGACTTACTAACCTAAAACTTCCACGGATGTTACTTATTACCTGGTGTACCTAAATTTCCAAAAAAAGCTTTTGATAACAAAAGGTTAGCCAAGAAAACATTGATGGGTTTGTGTAAAGGTTAATAAGTTAAATTGTAGGATGGTAGGATAAAATAAAGCAAAATTTGTTATTAATGATGTCCAGTCAAATTGAACCTTTGTTACTAGTGGAGCGTATTAGGGTTTAATGCTGAAGCTCATGTTCTTACTTATTTACAACAATGATATTTATACGAGGAAGGATTAAAAAGTAAAATCTGCAAGTGACAAATTCTTGGGTATTTCCTCTTCATTTAATAAATATGGTTTCTTGCTTACCCCCCCCCCCCCAATCTGTTTTTAAACGAGTGAAAGAGTGACAAGATATACTACACATTAAAATAATGTACGTGTTGTAGTAGTTACTTACTGTTATCATCAATAATAATATTAAAACGCTTAATTTTGCATTATTAACTACTCTAATCGCTCGACTCTTCCCCCCAAATAGATCATTTGCGCCCCTCCCCGTCAAAGTTCAAGGGCACGCCCCACATTTTAGGAAAGGTTGAACTACGTGATGAATTGGTAATGCTTCAAGATTGTTAAGTGTAACAAGAAATTAATAGATAAAACCGTTACACTAGCACCTTTCTGATAATGCTGTACCTTAAAGTTTACAAGCGAGACACGTGACATGATTTGACCACCCCTACCAACATACGCATATTAACCCAGA